AGGGAATCTTTTTTTTTTTAAGAGGATTTATTTTATTTGTGAGAGAGAGAGAGAGAGGTCTTCCTTTCTCTGGTTCACTCTTCAGATGGCTGCAGTGGCTGGAGCTGTGCCGATCAGAAGCCAGGAGCCAGGAGCTTCCTCCGGGTCTCCCATGGGGTGCAGGGCCCAAGCACAGGGGCCATCCTCCACTGCCCTCCCGGGCCACAAGAGAGCTGGGTCCAAGTGGAGCAGCCGGGTCTCGAACCATCACCAGTATGGGACAGCGGCGCTGCAGCTGGCAGCTTTACCCGCTGCACCACAGCGCCAGCCCTGAGTATGTGTCTTCATTCCTTTAGTACACATGAGAGTATCCAAAGAAGAATTACTGTAACGTGGAGTTTATAATGTGTCTATAAAGGGTTTCAGAAAGTCCATGGGAATCAACTTAGAAGGTGTTTGTTTTGCAGAAGTCTGTGGAAGCCACGCGTAGGTTTTGTGGAACACACGTTCCCGCGAGCTGTGAACGACCCCTGGTCGGGTACCTGGGAAGCTTTGTTAGCACAGGAAGCTGCGAGGGCGCTGGTCTCTGCATCTCACCCAAACTGCAGTGCTGGCTCCAGGCTGCGTGGTTCCTCGAGGCACACGAGGTCGCGTGGCTCAAGGTGCAGAGGGTGCAGCAGCCACACACGCGGGCTCCATGGAGAGGAGCCAAGAAGGGAGGAGGGATTTACAACAGAACGGGGGCCGGCGCTGTGGTGCAGCGGGTTAATGCCCTGGCCTGCGGTGCCAGCATCCCATATGGCTGCTGGTTCTAGTCCTGGCTGCCCCACTTCCGATCCAGCTCTCTGCTGTGGCCTGGGAAAGCAGTGGAGGGATGCCCCAGTCCTTGGGCCCCTGCACCCACGTGGGAGACCTGGAAGAAGCTCCTGGCTTCGGGCTTCGGATTGGCACAGCTCCAGCCGTTGCGGCCAATTGGGGAGTGAATCATTGGATGGAAGACCTCCCTCCCTCCACCCCGCTGTGTGTGTGTGTAACTCTGACTTTCCAATAAATCTTTAAAAAAAAAAAACAACACAAAGAATGGAGTGATGGAAAAGTAGCTGATTGGTAGAACGGGTTGAGCTGTGTTAATCACATTAGATGTGAACGGACCAGATGTGCCAGTTAAAAACCAGAGACTGAGGCGAGAGTTTCCTACAAGGAGACCCAGGTGACGCAGTTTGGAGTGTGAGGGTGCAGGTAGGTGGAGAGTGCGTCTCGCAAACCTAATAGGAAGCTGGAGCCGCCGGTCTGAGCGTCAGGCAGCATGGAGACTTCCAGGACGGTGACAGTGCCAGGGGGCTGGAGACAGCCGTCGCCAAGGCGTGGGCGCTGCGTGACAGCTCGGCGGTGCGTGGGCACTGCGCGACAGCTCGGCGGCGCGTGGCCGAGGCGTGGGCTCTGCGCGACAGCTCGGCGGTGCGTGGGCACTGTGCGACAGCTCGGCGGCGCGTGGCCGAGGCGTGGGCTCTGCGCGACAGCTCGGCGGTGCGTGGGCACTGCGCGACAGCTCGGCGGCGCGTGGCCGAGGCGTGGGCTCTGCGCGACAGCTCGGCGGTGCGTGGGCACTGCGCGACAGCTCGGCGGCGCGTGGCCGAGGCGTGGGCTCTACGCGACAGCTCGGCGGCGCGTGGCCGAGGCGTGGGCTCTGCGCGACAGCTCGGCGGCGCGTGGCCGAGGCGTGGGCACTGCGCGACAGCTCGGCGGCGCGTGGCCGAGGCGTGGGCTCTACGCGACAGCTCGGCGGCGCGTGGCCGAGGCGTGGGCTCTGCGCGACAGCTCGGCGGCGCGTGGCCGAGGCGTGGGCTCTGCGCGACAGCTCGGCGGCGCGTGGCCGAGGCGTGGGCTCTGCGCGACAGCTCGGCGGCGCGTGGCCGAGGCGTGGGCTCTGCGCGACAGCTCGGCGGCGCGTGGCCGAGGCGTGGGCACTGCGCGACAGCTCGGCGGCGCGTGGCCGAGGCGTGGGCTCTACGCGACAGCTCGGCGGCGCGTGGCCGAGGCGTGGGCTCTGCGCGACAGCTCGGCGGCGCGTGGCCGAGGCGTGGGCTCTGCGCGACAGCTCGGCGGCGCGTGGCCGAGGCGTGGGCTCTACGCGACAGCTCGGCGGCGCGTGGCCGAGGCGTGGGCACTGCGCGACAGCTCGGCGGCGCGTGGCCGAGGCGTGGGCACTGCGCGACAGCTCGGCGGCGCGTGGCCGAGGCGTGGGCACTGCGCGACAGCTCGGCGGCGCGTGGCCGAGGCGTGGGCTCTACGCGACAGCTCGGCGGCGCGCGGAGAAACCAACAGGACTCAGATGGCTCTTGTTCCTGTGGCGTTTTTCACCCCAGCTGCTGGGAGCAAATCCACACGTGTGGCCGTCCCCCGTGGCAAGGCCTTGGGTCGTGGTGACATGACAGGCCACAGACGTGACGAGCACGTGTCAGCTTCCTGCTGCTCACTCACACGTGGGCCTCTGGGGCGGCAGCAGCCAGCCTGGCTCAGCGCTCGTTGTATCCAGCGGCCGAGCGCGGAGGTGCTACTCCCGCCTGAGGCTTATTTGAGAGGCAGAGAGAGGGCTGCCATCCACTGGTCACTCCCACATGCCCTCAACAGCCAGGACTGGCGAGGGGCTTCATCTAGGTCCCTCATGTGGGTGCAGCGGCCCGAGGACTTGGGTGGTCCTGCGCTGCTTTTCCAGGCCGTGGCAGAGAGCTGGATCAGAACTGGGGCTGTGGGGACTTGAGCCAGTGCCCACACGGCGGCGGCTTCACTGGCTCGGCCACAGCGCTGGCCCCGCTTGGTTGGCTTTTCATATCACTGGGTGAACAAGCTGCTGTTGAAGCTGCCAGGTTGCCTTGAATTTCTTTTTTTCAGTGGTGAAAGGTCGGTCTGGGAGTAGAGTGGACTCCATAGACGGTGCCCACTCCGCGGCATCGCAGAGCCCTGGGTCAGGAGGCGGTGGTGGCGCCCGTGTCCTCCCTCGGCAGCCGCGGGTGGAGGGGGCCTGGGCTGTCCACGCCTCAGCCCTGCCCTGCTGGCCTGTTTTGGTGTGGGGGCTCCGGGACCTGCTCCGTCCCTCTTGCCCCTCTCTGTGCCTAGGGTCCATGGCCTTGAAATTCAAAGTGCGGAAGGGGTGGGGTCACTGACGGCCTCTGTGGGCTCCTGGGGAGCAGCCCCTCCTTCCCTGCTCAGCAAGGCTGGGGGAGGGGATTCTGACTGCGGCCATCTGGCGTTGGCTGGGTGTCCCTGGCGCTCTGCTCTGGGGGCCTGCAGCCTGCGTGCAGCCCCGCCCCCTGCAGACTTTGTCGCGTGCCTGGGAATGCTGTCACTCTGGTAGGTGTTTCTCTGGGCGGGGTGGGGGAGCCCGGCACTGCTGGACCATCGTCACACCTGGCGGGGGGCAGCGCCTGTGTCACTGCCCTGCCGCCCTCTTCCTGGGGCTCGGAGACTGCTGTTGTCATCAGTGCCCACAGGGGCCTTCTCTGCCTTCGCAGGTGTACGGTCACAGCCGTTTTGGGAGTGGGAGGTGAAGCACCTGTGACCCCAGCGTCCCACGTGGGTCCTGATGGAAGTCCCAGCCGCTCCACTTCCGATGGAGCTCCCTGCTGTGGCCCAGAGAGCAGCAGAGGGTGGACCAAGCCCTTGGGCTCCTGCACCACGTGGGAGACCCAGAGGAAGCTCCTGGCTTCAGCGTGACCCAGCCCGGTCCTTGAGGCCATTTGGGGAGTGAACCAGCGGATGGGAGGTTTGTCTTTCCCTCTCCCTGTAACTCTCTAAAAAAAGAAATCTTCAAAAAAAAAAAAAAAAAAGTGCAGCCGTGGCCCCAGCCCCCTGCATCTGACGCTCCCTCTCGCTCCGGGGACTGCAGCAGGCAGCCCGCTGCCTTCACTGTCTGCACTGGGTGTGGGTCACCGGCCTCGAGGCTGTCACCCGTTCTCGTTGTCCCCTGAGGTCCAGTATTCGAAAGGCGGAGTCGGAGGGAGAGGCAGAGAGAGAAAGCACTGGCTCATTCCTCAGTGGGCTGTAACACCATCCGGGTCTCCCACGTGGCTACAGGGGCCCAAGCACGTGGCCATCCTCCACTGCCCAGGTGCCTTGGCAGGGAGCTGGATCAGACGTGTGGCATCACACAGGATGTCGGCGCCTCACACCGGCCCCGGAGAGTCCTGAAACCCTTGCTGACGAAGTTGAAAGCATTCTCATCCCCTGATCCTGGCCCCTGCCACTCCTCTGCGGAGGACTGCGGGTTTCCCACCCCCCCTGCGGTGGATTGCGTGTCTCCCACCCCCCTGCGGTGGACTGCGTGGCCTGGGCTTCCCCTGAACCCGGCCCCTGCCACCCCCCTGCGGTGGACTGCGTGTCTCCCACCCCCCTGCGGTGGACTGCGTGTCTCCCACCCCCCTGCCGTGGACTGTGGGTCTCCCACCCCCCTGCGATGGACTGCGTGTCTCCCACCCCCCTGCGGTGGACTGCGTGTCTCTCACCCCCCTGTGGTGGATTGCGTGTCTCCCACCCCCCTGCGGTGGACTGCGTGTCTCCCACCCCCCTGCGGTGGACTGCGTGTCTCCCACCCCCCTGCGGTGGACTGCGGGTCTCCCACCCCCCTGCGGTGGACTGCGTGGCCTGGGCTTCCCCTGAACCCGGCCCCTGCCACCCCCCTGCGGTGGACTGCGTGGCCTGGGCTTCCCGTGTCGCAGCCGGTGTGTGCCTGTGCTCCCTGAGGGGGCTTTCTCCTGGCCTCCAAGGGGGTCTTGTGGCAGGGGTCAGCTGGAGAGGCCCGAGACCCCCCCACCCCTCCCCAGCGAACGTTCCAGGGCCCACGGGGACTAGGGTGTCTGGTCGGGGTCCTGCACACGTGTCGGCTGCGGTCATGTCCTCCTTTGCTCTCTCTGGGCGTGCGGCACGCAGGGTCTGGGCAGCCTGGCCGTGGCCACCGAGCTTCTGGCGGTCAGTGGCGGCGGAGAGCTTGCTGCTGCCTTTGCCGTGTGCCCCTCTCCTGGCCAGCCCTGCTCAAAATCATGGGGCGCCCTTTAAAATTCAGGCCCCGCACGGGGTGCTCGAGGGGCGTGGTCTACCCCGCGGGAGAGCCGCGGGCTCTGTTCGCTGTCCCACAGTTTGCATGGGCTCCTGTGCCCGTTCGGTGCCTGCCCTCGCTGCCCAGGGCTCAGCGGGTGGGCGTCACTCAGCGGGGAGCTTTTGGCCAGAGCAAACCAGCGGTCTCACGTTTCTCCTCTTTGTTTTCCAGGTACTCTTTCGGTAAGTGAAAGGCACCTAGAACCCCCGAGAGTTAGCGCTGCCAGCCGGGTATGTATCTACACGCTTGGGGTTTCCTCCTCGGGGCGCACCGCGTGTCCACTGCCAGTCCTGGCCAGGTGGGCCCTGCCCGGGGTCGCCCGCACCGCGTGGCAGCAGGGAGCCGACGGTGCTAGGGCGCTCCCACAGGTCCCGTGTGCCCCCGGGCCTGCACCCCGTCCGCCTGAGAGAGCCTTGCAGGGCACGCGGGGCCACTGGGTTTGTGCTTTCTGTGACGGAGCCCCCAGCCCACACTTGGAGGCAGATGCTGGAGGGCAGGCGGGGCGGGGGCTTTCTGGAGACCTGCGGTGGCTTCGTGAGGAGAGCGTCTGCAAACCCTCGGGGGAGGGCCCAGTGCCCGGAGTTGGCGGGAGAGCTGGCAGGCAGGTGTTACTTGCAGGGCCGGTGTGTCCCGTGTCGGTGCCGTGGGGTGAGGGCCCGGCAGGCTGGGCTCCGGCCTCGAGCCTGTGCCGAGGCTGCGGAAGGTGCCTTCTGCACGCCCAAGCCCCGCTCTCCTCTCGGTCACGGCTCAGGGCAGGCTCGGACCCTGTCCTGGGACCTGTGGGAGGTCTCTGTGGCCTCACTGGGCTCTTGGTGCAAGTGCAGCGTCGTCCTGGGCTTGTGCCCTGTGTGCACTCCATGAGGGCTGGGGGCCCTTCCTCCTGCTCGGCCGGGTGTGTGTGTGTGTGTGTGTGTGTGTGTGTGACGTCGTTCACAGCCACGCACAATGAGCAAGTGCAAGTCCGCCTGCCGTGGGCTTCCTGCGTTTGAGCCCTGTCCGTGGTTGCCTGGGCGGGGCCAGCCCCGATCGCGGTCGGGCCTTATGCGGCTCCTCAAGTGTGGGGCGTGTGGGGCGTGTGCGGGCAGAGCCCCTTGCCCTGGGTGTGGGGAGAGGGCCCACCGCAGGCGCGGAGCCCTGCAGCCGGGGACTTGGGTTTTCTCAGGCTGGCTGCACTTCCTTCAGAATATTCAAGTTTTTGTCAGCACGTCTCTGCTGTCTTAAGGGGGTCTTTCCCACGGGCGATAGCCCCAGGCCTGCCCCGTCCCCTGCCGCCATGCCCTGCGCTGTGTCCCGCGTTGCTGAGTGAGGAGGCCGCATCAGTGGGGCAGTGTTTGCCAGCTCCGGCGCCTGGCACTTCAAAGGCTGCGTGCCCAAGCCGGCTTCCTGCCTCCTGGGGCAGGAGCTTCCTGCCGGGCCTGGGCTCCCGCTGGGAGCTGCCGCGTCTGCCTCTGAAGACAGCAGGGCCAGGCACAGGCCAGCCTCCTGGCAGGGCCTCCCAGCTCGCTGCCCCGATGTGGCTGCTTAACCCTGTGGGACTCTGTGTGGCAGAGGGGTTCTGGGCGGAGCTTGCTGAGGACTGGCCCTGCCCTGGGGCTGGGCCGAGACCCCTGTCCTGTCCCAGCCCAGACAGGTCTCAGGCTTGGGAGTGCCGGGCTGGGGGGTGTGGCCTCTCCCGGTCCAGGGGCTGGGGGGTGTGGCCTCTCCTGGTCCAGTGGTCGTGGAGGAGGAGCGCTTTCCTGAGGACTTGGGGTGCTTCAGGCCCCGAAAAGCACTCTGTGACCCTTGTGTCTTTTATCTTGGGCTCTGGTGTGGCAGTGTTGCCTCCAGGAACACCAGAGGTGGGGAGGGACAAGGGGCCACGCTGTTAGAGGGGGCGGGGCTGCTGCCCGCACAGACGCTTGCAGTGGGGGGCAGGGCGGGGTACATGGGGCCCAGTGCTCCCACGCTCACTGCTGCCCATCCCCATGAGAATGGGGCCTCCTCATTTTCTTTCCTTTTTTTTTAAAGTGGATCTTTTATTTAAAGATTTATTTATTTGAAAGGCAGAGAGAGAGAGAGGTCTTCATCTGCTGGTTGACCCCCAAATGGCTGCAGTGGCCAGAGCTGGGCTGATGCAAAGCCAGGAGCTTCTCCTGGTCTCCCACGTGGGTGCAGGGACCCAAGCACTGGGGCCATCCTCCACTGCTTTCCCAGGCCAGAGCAGGGAGCTGGACCGGAAGAGGAGCAGCTGGGACTCAAACCGGCGCCCGTAAGGGATGCTGGTGCTGCAGGTGGACGCTGAGCCCACTCCGCCACAGCACTGCCCCCTCCTCTTTTTGAAGAGGCAGAAGCCAGAGAGCCTCGGGCTCTTCCTGGGGCTGGGCCAGCTCTCAGCAGGCCCCGGTGCCTGTGCCCGCCCACAGCCTGTCGGGCACAGGAGAGCCCAGCGACAGCTGGGGTCTGGTCTGGGTGGCTCCCTGGCCTCACGGAGAGCCGTCGCATGGTGGGCGCAAGGAGCCACTGCCCCAGGTTAACGGATCGCAGTGGGTGGCACTCGGGGCAGGGTCCCTGGGCAAGGGCCGGGCGTGGTGGCCCCTCCCCAGGTGCGGGGCTGGGCAGAGGCGGGGCCTGGCTGCAGGGCCCCCACAGGCAGGCTGGTGTCCTGTGCCGCGTGTCTAGAGGTGTTGCAGGCGGAATGGCTTCTGGCTTGGGGGCCGAGCTCGTGCTGAGTGGGAACTCCTCTCGTGGGGGGTCCAGGCCGCTGCTCAGTGATGTCACCCTGCCTTGTCGGGGGGTCTAGGCCACCACTCAGTGATGTCACCCTTCCTCACTGAGGGTCTAGGCTGCTCAGTGATGTCACCCTTCCTCACTGAGGGTCTAGGCCACCACTCAGTGATGTCACCCTGCCTTGTCGGGGGGTCTAGGCCACCGCTCAGTGGTGTCACCCTGCCTCACTGAGGGTCTAGGCCACCACTCAGTGGTGTCACCCTGCCTTGTCGGGGGGTCTAGGCCACCGCTCAGTGGTGTCACCCTTCCTCACTGAGGGTCTAGGCCACCGCTCAGTGGTGTCACCCTGCCTTGTCGGGGGGTCTAGGCTGCTCAGTGGGTGTCACCCTGCCTTACTGGGGGATCTAGGCTGCCGCTCAGCGATGTCACCTTGCCTTGTCAGGGGGTCTAGGCCGCTCAGCGGTGTCACCCTGCCTCATGGAGGGGTCTAGGCCTCTCCGCCAGTGTCTAGGCCACCGGTCAGTGGGTGTCACCCTGATTCCTGTGGCAGCAGCTCCTCTGGCCATCGCTGTGGGTTGAATGCTGCCTGTGACCCTTCACCCTTGCTGCTCTTAAACTCCTGCTCGGAGGACAGCTTAATGAGGGGTTTCCTGGCCTGACTGGAGGGTTTTATTAAAACCTGCCAGTGCTGGGGCGGAGCCTGCAGGAAACCCTGGCCCCGGCTGGGCTGCAGCATGTCCCCCGGGAGTGTCCACGGCTCTGGGACCCTACGCTGTGCTCCTGGCTGCTCTGTGCTCCTGGCCACACAGCTCTCCTTCCCCACGGCCCCTCTCTGGGCGTCTGTGTGGACGTCACCCTTAGCCAGCCGCTGTGGGAGGAATCCTGCTGAGCACAGTCCCCAGAGTGTTACCTAAGCTGACAGCACCGTGGCCTGGACGTGGGGTGACCGTGGGTGTGCCCTACACAGGGAGGACACAGGGCCTGGCGTGGGCTGCTTAGGGCCAGGTGCTGTGTGACCATCTCGGCGGGTCACCCCAGAGGGACAGAAACGGTTGGACAGCATCCTTCCCTGGGTGGTCCCAGAGGGAGAGGCCCCACCGGCCCCCAGCCTGAGTCTCCCCTCCAGCAGGGCTCTGCTTTCTGGTGTCTCTGCCACTCTCCCTGGGCGTGATCTTTCCTGGGGTGGCACAGAGGACCTGGGACGTGGGCCATGACCTGTAGGTGACAGCCTGAGCCCTGGGCCGGTGTGCGTGGTCACCTGTGGCCTCCCCATGGCACATGGTCAGTGTTCAGCCAGCACATTGAGAGGAGAGCCAAGAGTGGTCTCTGCACACCGGGCCTCTGGGGCTGCTGTGGGGCCCCGTCACTCCTAGTGGCCATGCTCCTGACGCACCTGGGTCGCTGCCGTCTGCAGGGCGTCCTGTCTCGCCCAGTGCTGGGCACCTGGGTCGCTGCCGCCTGCAGGGCGTCCTGTCTCGCCCAGTGCTGGGCACCTGGGTCGCTGCCGCCTGCAGGGCGTCCTGTCTCGCCCAGTGCTGGGCACCTGGGGTCGCTGCCGTCTGCAGGGCGTCCTGTCTCGCCCAGTGCTGGGCACCTGGGGTCGCTGCCGTCTGCAGGGCGTCCTGTCTCGCCCAGTGCTGGGCACCTGGGGTCGCTGCCGCCTGCAGGGCGTCCTGTCTCGCCCAGTGCTGGGCACCTGGGTCGCTGCCGCCTGCAGGGCGTCCTGTCTCGCCCAGTGCTGGGCACCTGGGTCGCTGCCGCCTGCAGGGCGTCCTGTCTCGCCCAGTGCTGGGCACCTGGGTCGCTGCCGTCTGCAGGGCGTCCTGTCTCGCCCAGTGCTGGGCACCTGGGGTCGCTGCCGTCTGCAGGGCGTCCTGTCTCGCCCAGTGCTGGGCACCTGGGTCGCTGCCGCCTGCAGGGCGTCCTGTCTCGCCCAGTGCTGGGCACCTGGGTCGCTGCCGCCTGCAGGGCGTCCTGTCTCGCCCAGTGCTGGGCACCTGGGGTCGCTGCCGCCTGCAGGCGTCCTGTCTCGCCCAGTGCTGGGCACCTGGGGTCGCTGCCGTCTGCAGGGCGTCCTGTCTCGCCCAGTGCTGGCACCTGGGGTCGCTGCCGCCTGCAGGGCGTCCTGTCTCGCCCAGTGCTGGGCACCTGGGTCGCTGCCGCCTGCAGGGCGTCCTGTCTCGCCCAGTGCTGGGCACCTGGGTCGCTGCCGTCTGCAGGGCGTCCTGTCTCGCCCAGTGCTGGGCACCTGGGGTCGCTGCCGTCTGCAGGGCGTCCTGTCTCGCCCAGTGCTGGGCACCTGGGTCGCTGCCGCCTGCAGGGCGTCCTGTCTCGCCCAGTGCTGGGCACCTGGGGTCGCTGCCGTCTGCAGGGCGTCCTGTCTCGCCCAGTGCTGGGCACCTGGGTCGCTGCCGTCTGCAGGGCGTCCTGTCTCGCCCAGTGCTGGGCACCTGGGTCGCTGCCGCCTGCAGGGCGTCCTGTCTCGCCCAGTGCTGGGCACCTGGTGTCGCTGCCGTCTGCAGGGCGTCCTGTCTCGCCCAGTGCTGGGCACCTGGGTCGCTGCCGCCTGCAGGGCGTCCTGTCTCGCCCAGTGCTGGGCACCTGGGTCGCTGCCCGCCTGCAGGGCGTCCTGTCTCGCCCAGTGCTGGGCACCTGGGTCGCTGCCGCCTGCAGGGCGTCCTGTCTCGCCCAGTGCTGGGCACCTGGGTCGCTGCCGTCTGCAGGGCGTCCTGTCTCGCCCAGTGCTGGGCACCTGGGGTCGCTGCCGTCTGCAGGGCGTCCTGTCTCGCCCAGTGCTGGGCACCTGGGTCGCTGCCGCCTGCAGGGCGTCCTGTCTCGCCCAGTGCTGGGCACCTGGGTCGCTGCCCCTGCTCTTGTGTGTGCTGCTCAGCTCCACAGTCAATCACACACGCAGACGCACGCACATACACACGCAGACGCACACGGAAACACACGTGCATAGACACAGAGCTATACACAGACACAGAAATGCAGACACAGATGCACACACACCCACAGAAACATGCGCACAGACACCAAAATGCAGACAGACACACGTGAGAAACAGACACCGAAATGCAGACAGACACACGTGAGAAACATGCGCACAGACACCAAAATGCAGAGACACACGTGCATAGACAGACACGTGCATAGACAGAGTTAGACACAAAGACACAGAAATGCAGACACACGCAGAAACACGCACACAGACACCAAAATGCAGAGACACACGTGCGTAGATGCACAGAGCTACGCACACAGAGAAATGCAGACACACACAGACATACACAGAAACATGGACACAGATGCACACACAGACACGCGTGCATAGACACAGATGTGCACACACAAATGCAGATGCAGATACATGTGTGTAGACAGACACAGAGCTACGCACACACACAGATGCACAGACGCTTCATAGACACAGAAACATGCACACATACATGTACACACACATACACACCAAGACACAGACACATATCCACACACACGTAGACGGACGTACACAGACACCCCCACACAGCTGCACACACACACACATACACACGTACATAGACACACGGAGGTGCACACACAGACACTCACGCACACTCAGGTTGGGGTTGACGTCTGAGTTACGCACGTGGGGCTGTGCTGTGTGCACGTCTTTCCTTCTCTCTGTCTCATCGTCACCTGGCACAGCAGCGCCCGCCGAGCCCGGGCGCCCCGCTCTGCTCTCCCCACCACATCCGTTCCTCGCTGCTGTGCGGTGTGGAGTCCTGGAGGATGTTCTGCTAGGATGCCTCCGTCCTGACCGCTGGGACGGCGTCATCCACGGGGGGGGGGGGGGGGGCAGCTCCTGCTGTGTGCAGTGTGGTGGTGACGTCGTGGCGGGCCGCTGCCTGGTCCCAGGAAGGTGGTTCTGCTCCCGCCGTGGCCGCTGGCAGCTGACGCCCGCCTGGGGCCCCCGCCGATGGGGGTCTGACTGGAGCCGGCCCCTGCGCCCCTCTGCCGTCGCGGCTGGCCGCAGCTGTTCCCAGTCAGAGCCCCCAGCTGCCGTGAGACGGGGCCTGTGGCTGCCCCCGCCCCCGCCCCCGCCCCCGCCCAGAGCTGTTGGGTTGTCCCCTCTGGGGTCTTTGCAGAGCTCACGGAGCTTGGAAAGCGTTGGAGTCTGGTAGCTACTTCAGCAGGTGGCTTCCTGCTCCTGAGAGAAAACGTTTGCTGCTCTCTGATGTCTCCCGTTGATGGCAGCTTCCCCTCCTGTTAGGCACCGAGGCGCCCCCCCACCCCACCGTGGCCGCCCAGCTCGGCGACAGGCGGGTGCGGGCCCGGGATGAGCGCTGTGTGCAGCCGCGCGCCCGAAGGCCACGCCCGGGCCTCAGGGTCCCCTTCTGTTCCTCTGTTCCTCGGCTCTGGGTTTACTGTGCCACGACCAGGCAGCGCGGCCGCAAGCTTGACCTTTAGTTGTTAAAGAAAAGCTGCCTGTGTCACCTGTTCACCCCACGTTCTGTTCTCACAGACCCCGGCACCGCCTGGATCTGCTCGCGTCTGTCTGAGGTGTGGACGTGGGTTGTTCTGGCACCTGACGCCCGACCTTGCGTAAATGCTCGTGTCGTGAATGACAGCCCAGCGCTCTTCTCCCCTCTCGGGGCAGCCGCGTCACGATTGCAAAGGAGAGCCCTTCGTTGCTGATTGTGTGACTGTCTGGCGTGAGCTCCGTGTTTTTCCTAGTAACCCTTTGTTTGCCCTGGAGTTAATAGCTACCTCTTCCTTCTTTAGGTGGCTTTTATTTAAAAATTTATTTTTTTATTTATGCGAAAGAGTGGGGTGGGGGGGGACACAGAGATCTGCCATCTGTTGGTTTGCTCCCCAAATGGCTGCAATCACTGGGGCTGGGCCAGGCCAAAGCCAGGAGCCAAGGGCTCCATCGGGGTGTGCCACGTGGGTGCAGGGCCCAAGCACTTGGGCCATCGCCCCCTGCCCCCCAGGGGCAGCAGCACGGAGGTGGAGCGGAGCAGAGCAGCAGGGCTCTCACTGGCGCGGGCTCCCAGAACCGGCTTTCCCCGCTGCGCCGCGACGCCCCCTGCTGCTCCCTTGTGCTCTGCTCTGACCGTGGCTCCGTTGGCTGTCCCCAGCAGCAGGTCACGTCGGCGTCTCCGTGTCAAGGGATCTGCGCTCGGGATCTGCCGCTGCTCGAGGCGGGGCTTCGGGGCAGCGCTCTGTCCAGGGCAGCATTGCTTCCCCTGTTGCCTTTGGGGTCCTTGCAGCTCTCCGGGCAGTGGCTGAGCTGTGCAGCCTCCGCCCCCTCCCCCGGCCCCTCAGCCCTCTGCTGCTGTGGTTGGCAGAGATGCCTGGGAGCGGCTGGCGTCTGCCGTGCTGGACAAGCCGCTGTCTCTGTCAGTTCACCCAACGACTTTCTGCAGGCGAATGTGGTCGCCTGAGCCGTGGGCGAGGCCGTGGGGGAAGGCGTGGCCTGAGCCGTGGGAGAGGCCGTGGAGGGAATGTGGTCACCTGAGCCATGGGGGAAGGCGTGGCCTGAACCATGGCAGGGAAGGCGTGGCCTGAGCCGTGGGCAAAGCCGTGGAGGTGCTTGGTCTCAGATGCTGCTGAAGCCACCCAGCCCTAGCACCTGCAGCACCTGGTGCCCCTGCAGCCTCCTGGCTCGGGTCCCCGTAGTTGAAGGCAGGAACCTGTGCCAGTGCAGTGACAGGAAGAGGCCCCGTGGCCCACCCGGAGGGGCAGCTGGGCCAGTTCCTTTGGTAAATGCTTTGATCTTTTTTTTTTTTTTTTGACAGGCAGAGTGGACAGTGAGAGAGAGAGACAGAGAGAAAGGTCTTCCTTTGCCGTTGGTTCACCCTCCAATGGCCGCCGCGGTCGGCGCGCTGCGGCCGGCGCACCGCGCTGATCCGATGGCAGGAGCCAGGAGCCAGGTGCTTTTCCTGGTCTCCCATGGGGTGCAGGGCCCAAGCACTTGGGCCATCCTCCACTGCACTCCCTGGCCACAGCAGAGAGCTGGCCTGGAAGAGGGGCAACCGGGACAGAATCCGGCGCCCCGACCGGGACTAGAACCTGGTGTGCCGGCGCCGCTAGGCGGAGGATTAGCCTAGTGAGCCGCGGCGCCGGCTTGGTAAATGCTTTGATCTTTTAAAGAGAAACTCTGGACAGGAAGGCCGTGCCTCGCTGCCGTGACGGTAGCAGCATTGTCTGTGGACTCGGGAGGCGCAGCCGCAGCCAGTCCCGGTCCTCGGCTTGGAGGAGGGACCTATCCCAGGCTATTCAGGGCCTCCTCTTCGCAGGGGCCTCGGGCCCGTCCCGTGCTGCCCCACCTCCACGCCATGCCCGGCAGGCTGGTCTTCCCTTGGCCTCCGCCTCAGTGAGCAGCTCCGGGCAGTGGGAAGCTGCCGAGGGTCTCGGTGATGCTGTGGCTGCTCAGAGCCACCGCGGTGCCCTCCTGTGTTTGCCCGCTGCTGCACGGTGCCCCCCGCCCCCAGGGCGCCCTGTGTTTGCCCGCTGCTGCACGGTGCCCCCCGCCCCCAGGGCACCCTGTGTTTGCCCGCTGCTGCTCTGGCACGCTGCTTTCTCGGGTCCAGTTCCCGTCTCTGCGTCGGCCCCTCCAGGCTGTCCCCACAGTACCTGGAGTGGAGCAGATTGGTGGCGGTGACAGACCCGCACCTGGCCCCTGTGCGCAGCCGCGGGGCTCCGGGCCACATGTGGCTGTCACAAGAGTGCACAGAAGAAGCGTGATGCCTTCCCAGGCTCACCGCACATCCGGGCGGCTTGGTGGTGAGCAACGGGTCACTTCCAGAAACCTGCTCGCCGTTCTCTGATGGCCAGCAGTCCCAGAGCCGCGGGCACGGGTGGTTGCAGCGTGTGTCCAGCTCACTGTGCAGAGGGTGTCGCTGGCCTGAGTGTGTGGTGCCTCTTCCTCCTCGCACAGCAGCTCGTGCCCACAGGGCACCGAGGCGAAGCGTCCACCCTCAGCCATGGGCAGCGTGGGAAGCCACAGCGTGCAGTGGGCAGCGGCCACTCCGGCCCCGTCAGAGCTTCATGCTCCCTGACCTCCGCAGGGTGACCCAGCACCAGGACAGGGAGCGACGGCTATGCCCAGTCAGGCCCGGTCACCTTGGGTGGGCCTGGAGCTCGCGGTGACCATGTCAAAGGTGTGTACCCATGTGCCGTGTGGACAGCTCTTGGAGAAGCCCAGCGTGGGGTGGGCGTTTGGCCTGAGCCCGTGCCCCACGCTAGGGGACTGGATTTGGTTCCTGGCTTCCGCTCAAGATGGCAGCATCCCGATGGAGAACCTGGGAGGCAGAGGTGGTGGCTCAAGGCCTTGGGCCCAGCACCCACATGGCGCCCCGGTGGAGTTCTGGGTTCCGGGTTGGCCTGGCCTAGACCCAGCTGTTGTGGGCATTTGGGGCGTGAGCCAGCAGGTGGAAGAACTCTGTCTCTCTGCACCTCAAATGAATCAGTAAGAACAATTAGCAAAAAGCAAGCTTGCAGAGTTAGTGCCGAGAGCTCCCATCCCCCTCCGCCCGCCTCCCTTCCAGCGCCTTTCAGATGTGAAGCGTGGTGCTCCACGGGAAGCCGTCTGTGGCTTTAGACAGCAGGCCGCGTGCTAGCTGTGCTGTCCACCACCGCCAGGACCAGCGGGGCCACACAGCACACGGCCCTCACGGCTCCTGCACGCTGCACCTCCTCACGACCGTGGCTGTGCTGGGCGGTCCTGGCGCCCACCCTCTTGCAGGCTCCCCCCACCACCAGAAGCCCCGCCTTAGCCAGGCCCGCCCCGGAGCCCTGGTCCCACCTGACGGGGAGTGGCGTCCTCTTGGTGGGCAGAGTTGGAAAATACCAGAATGCTCGCACGGGAATGGCCACTGGCCCGG